AGGCAGGGCGTGTTTACATTGGCCATTATGGCCCACTGAGGCCAGTTTGCTGTTGTCTCAATCTGTTTTAGTTGGTCTTGAAATTAAAAGACAACAAATAGAAGTACCACAAGCTCAATATCATCCACTGAGTTACTGATAAAAACACATCACATTAAGATTTCAGCATTTTTGATATTATTATCCACCCCCACAATGATGCAACCAGGGCTGAGCTGGAATAAGGCCATGCCGACTGTAGCCTGCAGGCCAAGTCTTGAAGTACAAAGATACCATTTGTGACCAAGTGGACTAATGAGTCATACAGCAACTTTTGAAAATCCTGGCCTACATCTGTGAGCAAAACTGTATTCTAGGCTGTGCACATTATTTCATTATTAACCATTGCTACCTCTAGCCTCGGATGTTTCCTATCACGAGGAGAGCAAATAGGAAGGTGTTAAAATACAGCTCTTGTGCTCTCTAAATTTACAGAAACAAAATTGAGATAGGTTCAAGATGCCCTCAACAACTCAGCAAATATTTGTTGTTTGACAGTCTTTCTAATTGTATGATTTGCACCCTGGTAGCAGCCACAGTTTGCACTGGTAATATACAACACAGACATTGTGTTAATTAAGAGACAGACAAAAACAACAGCAAATTTTTTTGCTAAAGCAATTAAGTATATTAAATTTAGAGGAGGTTTCAAAGTGCTATGAAAGCTTTGAGTTGAGGCTCTGTTTACGTTAACAATCTCTGGAAATGTTAGTGTTTTTCTCACTGGTGTTTGTGGAAAAGATGTTCACACAGCTGTAATGTGCATGTTGGATCTGCTGTTGTTTCCATGCCAGGTCACTAGGTGGCGCTGTGGATTTTATAACTTCACACATGCACACAGACACTTAAGTCTCGAGTAGAAAAACACAGCCAAAATGATGAATGCATGAATGAATGAGGCTGCGTTGATCCTACATATTGAAAAGTGTAAGTAGCACAAACAGCCCTTTGCTGTTTTTTTTATTGTCCATTGTTTCTGTTGTCTATCTACTCACACAGGCACAGAAAAATACTCACTACAGCCATCCCTAGTGTGCATGTGTGACTTCACATTAACTAGGGTTTTCCTTGAAATAATGCCAGACGCTCCCAAAAATCTCAACTCTAACACCTAGATTCAAAAAGCCACCGTGTCAGAAAAAATCACTACAGTTGTCATGTACACAAATGAAACGCAACAATTTCGCTTAGAAAACACAGTGTTATGTAAACACAACCTGAGGTGTTTTAGGTGTTAGAAACTTACTTTTGAATGACTCCTGCACCAAGTAGCTGTCAGTTTGATTTCAGAACAAAACTTTCGCACTGATTTTTCAAAATAAAATCATTGTGACCACTGTCTTCTGCAGGTAATATATTGACTGATGATAATTACTCCACAAAACCTCTAAACAAAATTAATAGTGACAGTGGTAACAAGCTTTGATTGCATTGCTTTTTACAGATAATGCTGATTTTTTTCCCCCCCAAAAATAAGAAAAAATGTAAATAAAAAGTATAAATAGTAAACACAGATAAAAAGTTTTTTTTTCCACTTCTTGAGCTCTGGTGATATTTAAGATGTACACATTTGCACTTGAAAGCACACAAACACATTCAATTTCCTACAGTTTAGAAGGAGATTTAGTTTTTAGAATAAATGTGAATGATTCAGTGTTACATTAAGCTCTAAATGGGGTGCTGTAGATCCTCCTCCTGGCCACAGCTCTGGGGATTTGAATTGTAAGTCCAGAAGGCAGAGATGTAAGAAACATCACATTCATGGCTGTGATTGGTAGCTCATCTCCACCCAGTGCAGCACGCCGGCTGGTATGTTTTGGCACTTTATGGTGGATCGAAGCTGTTCAAGTTTAATGTGCTTGTGGCTGTCGCAGCTGTGACAAAGGGTGCAATACATAACCCAGGAGTAATAAGGGAGGACAAGCCAATCAATAGCCTGAGAGGCCGTTTGACCCAAGCTTTAAAATGACAAATTCCCAGCCTTGCATCACTGAGACTGCCTCTCTGCCCTCAGCTGTAGCCAACAAATGCCTGCAGGGATGCTGTTCAAAACGCAGCAGAGTGGACATGACGTTTGTCAGATAAAGTCTCTTCTTCACTGGCTTGCCTCATGTGTGTGCGTGCGTGAAATCTCCATTTCAGGTTCCATCTCAAAAAGGCCAAACTGGCAGTAAAGAGTCTTGTAAGTAAAGACATGGGGGCTTCACCTGTGAAAAGAGGCTTTTGTTGAAGCAGCCTCCTGTTTCCTGGCAGATAAAGCGTATCTGCTTTACGAGGAGATATGCACACGCTCAGCTCCCCGCTCATACGTCCACCTTTTCTTCTTTTTGCTCTTCCCTGTTCACATTTTTTTTTCTGTTAACCCCTCATCTTTCGCTGCAGCATTTCAAGCTTGCTGTAATTATTTTCTTCTTGCTCATCACTTCTCCGTTTTTTGCCCTGCTGCCAAAGCACCAGCTGGTTCATCCAGACTGTCTGCCCTGTGATTAGGAGTGTGTTGTTTGTCCTGAAGAGGCCTGTTCCAGAGATTACCCTCTAACAGAGGCACCTCTGAGATTACAGCTGCTGACCCCGCAGGTCATATGTGAGTGTTTGCTTGAAGACATTCAGACTAAACCTCCAGTGGAAACTGATTATTGTGAATCATTTCATCATTAAAKGTGATTACACGGCTAATCAAATGAGTCTGTAATTGTCTATGGGTTTTTGTATTTTGCTCTTTTTTATTTTACTGTAATTCCATATTTCTGGTGATTTTATGTACAGCTTTAAAGAGATAGACTCACTGTTTTTTGTCTTGTCTGAGATTAATTTTCTTTGTCTGTTCACTGGTTTTAATCATGTTGATGTTCAGTTTGTCAAAATCCAGTGGAAGAAGATTTAAAGTAAAGCAATAAAAAAAGGTTATGTAACGATGTTACTGCTCTGTGTTACTTGGACTTATTAACGATGAGATGAAACAAATTCAACACAGCGCTAGCATTGGGCAAAACTGTGTGGTATGCAATTAATCATCAGAAAAATATTTTCTACTAATAAATATTTGGCACTGTATGATTACTGCTAGTGTCTCAAGTTAATGACATTTTTTTCAAACTTTTGTCAAGCACGCATGTGTGGTGGATTGACGGAAGGCAGCACAGAGCTAACGCTAATGCTACCGACTTGCTTAACCACCTGAAACACTGAAGTTTGAGGAAAGCCAGAAGATGAAATCTGGTTCCTGAAGACAAGCTGAAGGCTGCACAGAATGAACAATCAACATCATTATTCTGAACTATGGCTGGGCAGGTTTAATTGGGGACTAGATTCTTCGGGCTCATTCTATAGATATTCACACAAGTGCTAACAACAATCATGGCTTCAGATACACCCCCCCCCCCCCCCCCCCCCC